TCGGTGGGCTTCCAGAGCACGGTTTAGAATGGCAGGCGGCGCTAGCAATCCTTCGTTCTTTTACAAGTGCGGGTGAAACAGATTTCCGAGGTGTGCGAAACTCCGGATACCATGGCAGACCAGTCCAGTCCAGGTCGATCTCAGCACACACGTCATACCCCCTCTTCCGTAGACAGCTGGGTATTGATCCCGTGCAGGTGATCACCAGCTTGCGGGGCCCTGCGGGCGACTCTCCCCACAATCAGGCGGCAACCACCGGCGCACCACGCCATCTTTTATATTTCATCCTCCATTCATCGGCGCCGCGGCCAGCCGGCTCCCCGGGGCTCGACCGCACACTGTTATTGTAAATGAGCCGTCCAGGACCGTCTCTCGGAGCCAGGACTGCCCGGCCGACGCCGCGGGCCCGTGACCGATGCCAGGGCGCCGGCGGTGAAGACGTGCTCGCACGGCCGCCGGGCCGGCAGGGCCGACGTCACACACCTGACACTGGTGATGGCGTTCCTCTGGGATATGCAAACATGGAGGGCACAGGCGCTTTATATTTTTTTTCTTCTAAGCAGTACACAAAGTGTGTGTATGTGAAAGACTTAGAACTCGTAATGTTCTGTACCTAATGTTCTGCATTGCTTATGCCTTGAACACAACAGGCAACAACCCTTCATCACCAGTGGACTCCCATGTGTGTTCGGGGGGGGGGGGGGAGAACCGGGCGGCCATATCTAGACTCAGCAAGTGACAGTCTGCACTTCAATACCGGAACTAACACACAGGCATACTCACGGCTCGCCACAAGTATAGGGAGGTCCAGACATTAAGCCAATAAGCCATATCGGCCCACAGCATCGTCACACTCACGGCATTCGCAAGCCGAAGCCAATGCGAGAGGGTTTCTACTGATCATACCAGTGGTTCTACACCATCACGCACTCTGGCTAATCAACGCGGCCCAAATTCGGGTCGCTTCGGGTTCATTGGCCTCCGAAGAGCTGGCATCATCTGATCGTCAGACGCGGGCCTTGTCTCGGGGCGGAGAAGCGGCCTACTGTAGCCGGCTGTAGCGCCGGCGTGCGGTCACTGGCTTAGCTCCCGATGCTCCGGGCCACCTCTGCCGCCTGCGTCACCTTAATCCGGCGCGACCGCGACGACCGCCGCGCGCCGCACTCTCATCGGTTTCAATAAGTTTCCCATTTGGTCAAGCGGCTTACGCCGCCGTAATCTGCGCTGATCCGGGACGGCTTTTTTGCAACGGAGGCTGCCGCCACCCCACGCATTTCCGCGCACGTTCCGGTCGGGCCGCCGGCACTCGCACAAAGAAGCCATTTGCTGATGGAGGCCCCGAGCGCCGCCGGTTCACAGCGGCCGAAGGGGGACGGGGCGCCAGACGGTTGGCGCGCATGACGGGATGAACCCGGAACAGCCCACCCAGAGCTCTTAGTGGGATGTGCCGTGGCCATTTGTGGGCGCCTGGTGCAGGACTGTGGCGCTGACCCACCGTGCAGCATGCATGTGAGTCAAGTTTCCACTTTTCTTTGTCTTGAAATGGTGGCAAAATAGACTGAAATGGGTAAGAGATTCACAACGATCACAATGAATAATTTACTGGAATCATTCTCTTAAAAAGTCGCCGCCACAACCCAGAGAATGGAGGCTCCGACAGGGTCTAACATGGTGGGACCGAACACCTGTATCTGAGCGCCGGTTTAATCGGCTTACCAACCACATCTGCTTTGCTGGATTCACCCTTGTCCTGTCGCGTTTTTACGCTCGCACTTCTGCTTTAGAACACTTCCTTGAAATGGTTCATCACTGCCTTCATGAAAAAACGAGAACATTCTATCTCCGGTGACGGCATGTCCTGGAACGGGAACTTTAAAAGAATTATTGACGGCATTTGGCATTGGTCTGAAATACGCGGTAGCAAAGACACTCACATCACAGCCACCTACCGCTGGCTAAGTTCAGTGGTCCTTGGAGACTGCTAGCTGACTGCGTTATCAGTTACTAGAATGTGTTATAAAGCCCTTCTGTGCAGTTGGTGGAGGCGCTGTTGTCAGTTTCGGAAACAAGCAATCCGGGATATCATCATGACCTTACGTTCGGCTTAATTGTGGTATCGACACGATTGCGCACTGATCATAGAATAAGAGAAAAACAATACGTTTTTTCATTGGGCTGCATGACAGGGGACATAAGCTAAGTTGCTTGCTTTCCAAAAAACTCCTACCTACCACGCAGCCCTTTGCGGTGAAGGCAATAGCATTGTTCACTGTTTTTTTTCATAAAGGCCAGCCACACCACTCTTCTTTTCAGGGGCTTCGTCGTACTGCTAAGACACTATGTCGTACTGTTAAGACGCCATGTCGTACTGTTAAGCTAATGTTTTATGAGAAGTCGACAGGGTTCTTTCAGGTGATGTGCTTATGTGCACCACATGTGTGCCCACACCGTGGGCATGCATGTCTCCCTTTTAGTACAGACCGGCCCTTAGGCTCTTTGGGATCGACGATTAAGAGCGCGATTAGGGGGCCCGACGGGCCGGCCAGAGACTGCATTAAAGGACCTTGGCCCCCAAATGTCCATCAGAGGGCCTCTTGCGTCGATTGGGGGCCCTCGGTGCAAAGATGGCCTGACAGTCGATCCGCGACGATCAATTTCAAGTAGTCTGCCTGTGTCGGCCTAGGGTCCATTTCCAAAGCCGAAACCATGATTGGGCCCGCGATTGTCAGTCACAGGGCTTCATGCAGTGATCGGGGTCCCTGCGACAATGAGGGACCGCTGTGTTGTCAGGGGACCACAGTACGCCTAGCAGGGGACCCTATGTCGACAAAGGCCCCGAGTCGGCCAAGGATTCGTCTTCTGTATAGGGACACGAACGTGACCCCCCGGATGTCAGGAGCCTCTTAGGTTGGCCGGGCCCGCTAATAATGAAAGGAGTTAGGATAAATGACAACGAAAGTATCAATGATGAGACAGTAAAATGTCCCCCGGCCAGACACCGGCCCAGTAACACACGTGGCCCGGACAATCCCCCCCCCCCCCCACGATAAACCGAATTGAAGTCATCTGACGACTTTTGGACCCTCTGTGTCGGTCAGGGCCTTCCGCATCAGGGAGTTGACCGATGCATGATGCATCTCTCTACGGCCCGTCGTATCGACCAAAGGGTCCCAGCTTCCGTGTCTCCAGAGAAGTGCCCCGGGTGGCGGGCTGGAACGAAATCCACCTTAACCCCTGACCGGGAAATGCGATGACCCCTTCGTGTTCTTCTTGCAGGGCTCCCTGTCCGCGGAAAGTAAGGCGTCTACTTAGTGTTCCATCCACTGGGCACCCTGGACGAACACGTTCGTGAGCATGATGATAAAAACGAAGAAAACTGGACCCTCGAAAGAAACGGGCCAGATCTGATGATTTTTTCGGGAAGCGTTTTCACAAACGGCCCTTCATCAAGCTGTGTACCGCCCCCACCCCACCTTGTCTTCCCTGGTATAAGATTGAGCTTGCAGAATCTGAAATAAACCCTTCTTGGGCTCAAGTATTTCGGTTGGCCATTTACGGATCTGAAATGCCTACTTTATCGCTCTAAAGCTTGTCATTTCATGAATTAAAAGGGCCCTACTTGAGCCTACTATGGGCCCCTTCCAGACCTGAGAGGGCCATACCTGTGCTCACGAAGGGCTCCACCCAGGCCTGAGACAGGCCTCTTGAGTTTACGATGGGCCTGTTCTGGTCAGAGGCGGGCCCTTTTGAGTCTATTATGGGTTCATTTCAGAACGAAAAAGAGCCCTTCCCGTGTCAAGAACGGTTAAAGGAAATTTCCTGCCTCGAAAGTGAGCCTCCCCGGACCTGAGATGGGGTCTCTACGCTGACTTTGATGGCCCGCGGTAAGCTAATATCCTCCGCAAATCTCCGGAGCCTTATTTGGGTAAGGTGAACTTGCTAAAAAAAGATAGTTTTGGTCCTTACCTCATACCTGGGAGACAGTTTTCCCTGCGGTTATGCCACAACTGGATTTCTGAGCCTACGCTGGGCCCATTCCAGACTAGAGACGGGCGCTACCCTAGCCGAGAAAGTGAGATGGACGTGTTCTGAACCTAAAGTTCCCAATTTCTCAGCCTATACTAAGTCCACACTCCCTGCCTTACTCGAGACGAGCCGCTTTCAGCTTATGATCGACCCTTTCCAGACTTGAGAGGACCCTCTCAGAGCCTGCGATGGACCCTTTCCAGACTTGAGAGGACCCTCTCAGAGCCTACGATGGGCCCTTTTCAAGATCTGATACGAGCCACGTCCTGACCAGAAAGGATCCTCTACCGTGCCAGGCAGTGACATAGGTGTTTTTCCGACTTAACATGTACCATTTCCAGCCTGAGATGAGTCCTTCCCTGTCACGAAACGATTCCCTTCTAAGTTTAAGATAGGCCCTTTCCGGACCAGACCTGGACTCTCCAGCCCTACTTGGGTAACACAATAAGCAAGTACCGACACACACCCGATACCCCTTCTGCTCCGCCTGACATAGGTTGGGGGAGACATAAATATACCTTTTCCGCTAGCTCAAAAGATGGGGGAGGGCAGCCTATATCGCTGTTCCCCCTTTCCCTCCCCCAGATGCGCCACCACCGTTGAATCTTAATGCAGTTGTTAAAGCATATCATAACTTCGAGAGCTGCAAGATAATACGTTGTTAAGCCATCGTAAAACAAGCCAGGGTAACTTGAACTTTTAAATGAGCCATCATAAATTCTGGACACCTATCAGAACACACAACCCAGCTGAAATCCTATGCTGTAGTGAAAGTGGAGGCATTTGAGGCCCGCCCAATCATTGGTGCCATATTCATCGTAAGTGATCGCTTGAGAATTGCACCAGTATTTTGCAAAAGGCTATGTGGAAGTCACACACAGACACGCATGTTTCTGCTTGATTGTCCGCCGTAGTAAGCATGTGTCACTCAAACTGCATGCTTAGACACGGGACCAAACCAATTGGAGACTTACAGTTCACTGTTATCATGGTCCTCTTGCTAACAGGAGGTGGACTGCAACGACAGAGGCAGACGGTAAACGGCGCAGTCCGTAGAGATGCCAGCCAACTGAGCCGCGGCTGCATAGCAGTCTGCAGGCGCCATAAATAGACACAATGGATCAATCATCAGAGGGAAGTGCTTCAAGCGGCCGTGCATCTATTCACGAAGTTGAACCCATCAGGCGTATTTAGGTGGATCTGGTCCATGCAGGCGGTAGCCAGGAGCGGCAGCGCTGCCATGCTGAGAATGTGGACTTCGCGCGAGATGGTTACGGCAGGTAAACCCGCCCTCTTACGCGGTCGAATCGGTCTGGCCTTCAGGGCGTGACGACCATCCTGGGATTGGTGGCAGCAAACCACGCTGGACATTAAGGCGATGCTGTAGAGACAGCTGTGCGGAGGACCAGCCCCCACCATTCTCACGAGACGGGACAGGTCATCTAGAGTGGTACCGCCGCCGTGAACCAGTGCGACTCTCGCGTACCGCTCTGTGAGGGAGCGCACCGCACCGCCGCCGTCCGGCCAGGCGCACTCACATGCCGTTGTTGGCGATGCAGAGGTAGACGCCCATCTCCGAGCGGGTCACCCTGTCCAGCTGCAGCACCTCGCCGGAGAAGTTGGCCACTGAAGCGGGGGGTCGCCGGGTCAAGCCCGACGCCGTCGGCAGGGTCGGCCATGCGTAACCGCTCGCACCAGCACATGAGCAGCCGGTTAAGCATACAAACACTGATCAATGATGGGCTGCTGAATACATACCTGCTGACGATGCAGAGGGCTGCTACTCAAGCCCGCGCTCACGGACGCGCTCCGGACTGCGGCGCGAGGACCGTGGGTGTGCTGGCACGACATGCCCTCGTGTCATAACATCCGATAGCTCGACAGGGGATCAACATGGTCCAAACCCAGTAGTAAACATGCGTTCAAAGCCTGGACTGTACAGGACATATGGTGCGTGTTATATTTGTCACATTTTTGCCATCGTCAGAGCGATCATGCCTGCGCCGGCCCCCAAATGGAGGTGACGACTTCCTGCCTCTGGTGCTTCGGCGCACGACCACCTTCGGCCACCGTGTGCTTGACCGCGGGGCAGTACATCACGCTCGACGATGCGCTCCCTCCAGCTACCCCCCGCGTCAGCCTGGGAAGGTCGCTCGTCTCCGCAGCCCGCGGCGCGCCGTCCGGCTGCGTCCAGCGTTTCAGCCTGTCCAGGCGCGCGCCTTACCTGGAGCCTGAGCGGCGCCTGCAGGCCGAGCACGCCGCCGAATCACCCCCATCATCCGGGCCTAGCCAGATGCTATCGTCGCCCGGCCCGCTTTCAATAAGCGCCAGCCAAATTTATCACCCGATTTCTAAGCATCGCGGTGCGCGGCCGAGATTTTACATTTCAATGATTTTGTTGGCGCGCGCCACTTTTCTCAAGTGGGCACTGGCAGGTAAATGAAGTGGCCTTTCCGAGCTAGCGGCCGGTCAGCCAGCGTCCGGAGCCGTGGTCTGGACGCGGCGGCGTCGACGCGACTCGGTGGGACTCGACAAGAGTCGGCGCGAGTCAACATGACTCGGCACAAGCTGGCACGCCCCACGCGGATCGACACGGAACGCCCGCGGAAAAGCCACGCCCGCCGCGCAGATCTATGGCTGGCATTTGCATTTTCAAGATTTAAGCGATGTTAAACGTTGCGGAAAAATAAACAAGTCAATAGCACAGAGCGGTGGTCGGTTATTTAAACGGAACTGTTTTCAACGTTAGGGTGCGGTGTGACGTGCTGGTGAGGCGGGTGCGGATACAGGGAAGGTTAAATGCATGTACCGAGGGCATTGCTAATGAGCTTCACTGTGTATATAACGTCACATATCATTCAAGCAATCTGAATATTGCAGTTAAAGTGGGCGTTCCCCATTTCAGACATTTCAAAGATACTTGGCGAAAACTCAAGATCAGTTACGTCTAAAAATAGCACTGGGCAATGCCACTGCAGCACCATCAAAGTACAATAGGAGACTATTTTAATCATTTGGCGATTTAGAACCAGGCTGTCAACGTTTTATCACCGCACTGCATTTCTTTCTTCCTTGGTAACCCCCGAGTGTGACCCGAGACGCGACAACTGCAGTTGCCGCGATTGCCTTCATCATACCCATGAAAGAATCTGCTAGTGGTCATCGTAAGCTGTAACGGGCTAGAGGTACAACTTCTGAGCTGCTCTTACCCGCACATTACGGGCCTGCGGCTTAAAAGTGGCAGCTCTTTTGGTATGACTGAGATCGGCATGATTGGACGCTTGTGATTGGTACCGTAGGCGGTGAAGGCCATTTACCAAGCCCGAAGCATATTGGTTGAAGTTTGAACCAGTGCTTCACTATAGACATGGTGATAATCTATCTCCAAAAGCCAAAGAATACTGCGAAAAGGCCTTCGTGCTTTACGTCATAGGGGAGAAGTCAAGGTCATAGCATGACGTTTCGTGGAGTACGCGTGATGATATCCTCAGCTTCATACACAATCTTTTAGTATTTCAAGCTTTCGTAGCATTTGTTATGCAACTACTTTGACGAACTAATGTATTGCAAATGTTACAAAACACACACAGAAAAACAAGGCAAATTGGATGCATCACATAAACTTTGAAGCATTGAGCAGGTAGTGAATGGAAAGTTTTTCCACTGGAGCGGCTACTTCAAAGCAAGGTTTTGAGTTACTCCGAGGGATTTCAAGAAAACTGGCCTTGCCGATACAAAATCGGACAAGTCTGATCTAACAATAGGTAAAAACCCCGAATAGGTGGTGCACTCCCTTTAACGAATTTAAAATAATACCAGATGTAGTAAAACGAATAATATTTCATGCCTACAGAACAGCAGATACACTGGTTGAAGCCATAAGCCACTTAAGAACAAGCTCATCTCATTACGGTAGTGGACTCCAGCACTTGCAGCTTCGAAAATGTACTTATCTAAATCATTGGGCTTCTCCGAAAAAGCGCATAAGCAGTGCTTTGCGAACTGCGCGTGCTTTTTTTGCCGTGCAGAAGAATGGTTATGGAACTAATCTACCATTCAACTTAAGTAGAAAAGATCGAGATAAAATACGTTATGTAAAAGATAATGTGATTGATTTCCGTTGTTCACAAGGGCCAAGATGTCAATTTAGAATAGCTACCGATATCTCCGGTTTTCGTGGATCATTGTAGCTACACATCTAAAACGACCTCCTCAATGACATCTAATGCACGTTGCAAACCCATGAGATACCATTGTCTTTGTTTCTTCCCTTTACGCCTCCAATGGTTTTTCGTTAAACGTGCATCGCTGCAGACAAGCATTGAATTCAAAAAGCTGTTTATTTTAAGCCGTGTCATGCGCTCACGCATCTCAAGATGTCATCGTAAGATGCATCTGGTCCTTCTAAAGCACGGAGGTCCGCGTGCACTCTGTTTGCACTGTTCAGATTCTCCGAGACTGAAGAGCGCGGGACGAACGTTCTCAAATCACGCCACGCCTGCTCAGATCAATTACGAACCGCTGGAACTTCGACGGACGCGCCAAAGACACCTTAGAGACTTCGCAGGTCTTTATGGCACCCTAATCTTTGCTCAACGGATTTTCCATTAGAGCTAGGATGCCGATTCGCCGACGGGAGCAAATGTTTTTGTTGGCCGTGTGTGGCTGGGTCCATCGGGTGCCGTTGTTTGCAGTTCCGATCTCGATGTCATTGTGCGGAAATTCGCATGCCGAAAATGCCCCCGTAAAATACGGTCCTGAGCTTTTTTAAGTCTCGGGGTATCTTTAAAATTCATTAATTCCAGGCATTTCAGTCGTTTTTCACAAGCATAGACCTTACGTCAACAGCCTTACAAAGTCTAAAAAGCAAAGCAAATAAACACAGACTATCCAGTTTCCAATCCATCTCTATCAGACACAAGCACGCAATCGCATGCTTGTTGCACATAGCCCTCACCCTTTTCCCTTAAGAAAACATGAACAATGACCTGAGAGCTCGCAACGCCGAAAAAAAATTCTACAGCAAATCGGCGCGGTGTACACGGTGGTGTCGTCGATGCCGACGATCGAGAGCAGTCGGTGTCGTCGATGCCGACGATCGAGATCAGTCGGTGCCGGCGGCGACGGCGGCGCGTCGGCGACAGGCCACCGCGATTTATTCCCGATGCCCGCCAGATACAAACTTTGTGACATGAGCGATGGCGGCCGATTTGCATCTGTATGCGCCGCCCCGACACCTGGCCGCCGGCTGATGAACAGCTCTCCGCGCCGTCCGCAAACAGGCTAGTCGGGCAACCTCCCCGTCCTACCACGCGCGACGAGTCACGGAGGGGTGCCGGCGGCCCACAGCACTGCGCCTGATGAAGATGGGGGGGGGGGGGGACGGGTCAGTTGTCGGTGGGGCGGTAGCGACAGCTGGTCGCGCCGGTGTGTTCAGATCTTGAGAGCTGCCATTACGAAAAACGCGGCGGCCGAAACGCAGGAAGAGGAAGAAACTTCAATTTATCAGGGCGGGGAACAGGTCAATGACCACAGTGGAATGGCGCAGCTGGCTGCCACATCGTTCGACGGTTGGGAATTGTGCGAGAAAAACTACGGCGAAAGCTGTTTAGGGTTCGTGTGCAAGGGCCACGTGTATCCGATTTCAACATGCAAAAGACCCGAATGTCGCTTCAGTTGCAAAACATCACCACTCAAGGCTTGCAACAGCTTGTGGCTTTGAACCGTCACTAGAGTGACAACCACGGTGCAAGGCGACGTACATCATAAAGCTGAGTATGGTTAATGGCGCCTTCGCTGCGACAGAGAGCCATGACCGCATGGCAACCAAATTAGAGCTGCAGCGTCTGCACCGCTGGCCCCCAGTCGTCTTTCTCTCACGACAGCCTCAGTACCTCCTCACAAGAGCTATAGCCTGCCCTCTCAGCGTTGGTTTCCGCCGCTGTCGCCTCCCGTGAGAGCTAAAGCTTTCCTGCACGTGCCCTGCCGCTCCTGGGAGCGGAGCGCCGGCTCCGGCCGCCACCGGTTCTCTTGAGGGCCACATCACAGCACGAGAACTGCAGCTGGCCAGCAGGCGCTGGCTCCGGCGGCGCCGCGGTCTCTGGCCGCCGCAGGAGCCGGCTCATGTTTTACGAGCTAGCACATGATTGAATGGTGCCTGACGCAGGGACAGATTACAGCAGGGCCCGGGCCCGCCGGCCGGGCCGCCCCGCGCAAAGCCGCGGCGGTGTGCCGTCTCCGCTCGGCCGCGGTCTCCGACATTACGGCCCTGGTGGATGGGATACGGCAAGGGGATAATGCTGCCAGATGGTGATATGCCCGCATTCCGCGAGCAGGATACGACGCGACGGTCTGCCGGCGCGCACAGTGGCCGATATGACATGCAGTATGCCACTGGGCGTCTCATGAGTCGGTCACTGCCGCGAAATTCCACATCACTTGTCTCTACCAATCACTGGTCGCAACAACAAAGCACGCCGTGGCCCAGTGTGCATAAGGAGACTGTTTGGTGAGTCCGTGTTGTGAAACTTTCGTAATCAGAGTAGTAGAATGGATGCACGGCTACCATTGCTTTCTGGAGGCTTGATGCTGAACATATAATGTGTTCTGAGTTCTTATGTTGATAGTTTTCAACCTTTAATATGTCAACACGTATGGGTTAAACGGCGACAACGAGCACACATTGGGTATATTGCCAATACTCGAGACTTCAAAGCACAGCTTAAAATGTCGACCATTGAAAACATAACCAATGTTTGGGCGGCATGATAACGCCATTAACGATATACCGTCCTTCTGGTATGCTGAAGGTGGATGACTGTCAGCATAAGCACTCTAATCCCAGAGTGCCAAAACACCCGAATCCATTGTAGAGTATATAAATTTCATATCAATGTTGGGTAGGCCAATTTTTTATTAACTTGCAATTCGAGCGCGTCGTCTGTCAAAAGTTAACGTCGTCCTAAGAAGCTGCCGTCTTTGGGACAACGGCAAAGAGGGCGCTTAACGAGCATGACATGTGCATTTCTTAACAACCACTGTCATGACCATTTGCACTTTTCAGAAGCAATGTCAACGGCGCCACGCAGCCACTTCATCTGAGTGTAACAACCCTGAGAAGATAAACGGTCCAACACAGTGTTGAGCTTACAGCCCTTATGTTTCACAGCTGACGGCTGTTACCTTTGAGCTTGCGGCCCTGTCTGAGCACGATCTCCTGGCCGTCCTCGCGCTGCCAGCTAATCGTGGGCGGCGGGTGGCCGTTGGCCTTGCACTGAAGCCGTGCCGAGCCGCCCTCTGGGATGATGAGGTCACTACTCGTCTCCGACGTCACAATGTCGGGAGGCACCACCACCTCCAAGTGGCCGACCTGCGGGCCGGGCCAGGTGACGGGAGAGCCGGGCGGGGTACTGCACGACTGATGTGTCGAAGAAGGGCCTGTTGGTTATTCGAATGAACATGGGTTGCATGTCGTTACTCATAATAAAAATGCCATCATCGCCAACAGCTACTAACGATCATCGTGGTCGTGAGTTAGGGTGGTTCTGATATGGTAGCACTCAATGTCTCTGTTAACACGGCACTGATCCGGTGCCGCAAGGGATCTCTACTAACCCGGCGTCGTTAAGGGCCCATGCTGACCAAGCAACTGACCTGGTACCGCATGGGGTCCGTGTTGACCTGGCACATGTAGGGGCCTCTGTCGGACTGGCGCACATCCCGCAGAATGAGCGTCCACGTGTTGTGGTCGTTGTGTATCACCGTCAGCCGGTCAAAGTGCGTGATGACCTGGTTGTGGATCGCCAAGATCGCCTTGCTGTCCGATTTGATCCAGGCCACCTGCAAAGACAGCGGAAGGTTGATAAGAGTAGTGCATTCATGCGTTTTTTTTCAGGCACGATCGTTTGTGCGGCGCAGAGGTTATATAAAGAGCTCTTGGTTCTTTAGGTGACCTCTAACCTCTCGCTGAATCAAACATTCTCTTCCACGACAGCTGATAATGTCGATAAGCGTAGATGATGTGACCACGCCTCACTGCGTCAACGCCGTGACGTGGGAACGACCTCCTTGCATAACCAATAGTTCCCGATAATTTTTGGTCCTTTTTTAAAAGACCTTTTAGGATCACGGCCCTTGGGAGTTCGTTCATCATGGCTCCCCTGCAAGCCCCCTCCCTCCCCTCCGCGATGTGGGTGCAGCAGCAGGGGAGCGCGCCCCCCCCCCCTCCAGTGATCGGCCAGAGGCGCGATTGGCCCGGGGGCGCAGCGGCGGCGGCCGGCGGCGGCCGGCGGCGGGTCCGCTCTGATCAGCGACCGACCGCGGCCGGCGGCGGCACGGCCAGGATTGGCCGGCCGCCTGCCGCTGACGGGCGCCGGCCCCCGTCACGCCAAAGATGTTTTTGATAGCCGGCGGGGCCGACCGGTCAGAAAATAATTAAACCCTGCGGGGAACAATGGTGGCGCCGGCTGGCCCGCCGCGCCGCGCATGCCGCCGGCGCCCTGTTGCTGACGCACAGTGCGCCATCGGGGGAGCACCGTCGAGGGGAGAGCTGCTGGGCGGACGGCGCGGACGGGAGGGCCGTGAAAGCAGCCGTCTGGAGGGACATGCGGGATGTGGAGGAGATACGAGACACGGGCGACGTAAGAGACATGGGGATTTGGAAGTATGGGAGAGGAGAAAATGCTGATCTAAGAGATACCGACATCGAAATGGATGGTAGTTTGCAGGCAATAAAACTCCGGCACCATGGCTCGGTTTTTGTAGAGAGAACAAGAAAAATGCGATCTGAAAGATGAAAGAGCTGGGCGGTGACTCACGACCTTGGTTGCCTTGTCAGACGCATGGGCTATTCCGGGAAAGAGTGGGCGAAGTTCGCGGCAAGGTAGCGCAGTGCGCGAGGGCTGAGCCGACCATCGATGAACGTTCGCTGAGTCATCCCGGGTCCAATGTCCGAACAATGACGGCGGCTCAGTCAGATGCGCCACGAACGCACCGCCGCGCCAGTGTGACTACATTGCTGACAAATTGGCTGACTCAATAGTCTGCAGGCTGGACACAGCTCCGTGCAGAGAAATCGAATGACGCATCAAATAAAATGATGGTTTAAATTACTGGTCCTTCGAGGCTGACTCTAGCACTCCTATTCCCCTGGCGTTTTTACGTGCACGCGTGCATTTGATCGTGTGTCGTCTCGGTAGTTAACTACTTGTCCAAAGACACTCTGACGATGCCGTATCAGTCTTCAGCTGTCCCTTTTGTCTGCCCTTCTCTCGACTTCTTGCCGCCTTCCCTCCCCTTTCTTTGCATCCTCGCCGACACAGTACGCGAAATGCATCCACTTTGCGGTCTTTGTGTCCCCCAGCAGCCCCTAAACGCCGCAGCCGCAGCCATACGCCGGTCGTTGCCCGTACGCCGGCGGCCGTTTGCGAGATAGCCCGGCGCCCATAGATCTCGCGTGATCCGCTCCCCCGGGCAGGGGTTTGACTGGCTGCTGAGCAGTGGCCGTCGGACCCCTCCTCTTTGTCTCCGCGCCATTAACCGCGCTCGCGCCACTGTTTGTGTTACAAGAAAAATCAATCGACCGTTGCAAGCGCTGTTTGTTTAGATTTGGATGTTTTCCGAATCATCTCAGCCCCGTGAGCCCCGCACGGCGGTCGTTGTTTTTAGCAGGGACACGGAGACCGGCCACAAAGACCGCCGGCGCCAGCACTCCCCCGGCGCCGCCGCTGCCGCGCACAGCACGCTGTCACACAATCTCGGCTCGTCGCGTCCAAGCGTGACCGTGTGGCAGAGCCGCCGTCGCCAGCCGTGGCCAACGGCATGGCAAAGCCACTGGACTCGCACGCAACTAAACATGGTTTGTTTGTGAAGGTAGTGATTAGGAGTGCAAAGGCGCGCAAGAGCAGACTTGGCATTGCGGGAGTGGATGACGACATTAGTATTTCTTCAGACGCGGATGCGTACTAAACAAGCCGCTTCTTAGCACCTTTTGTTCCGCTGGCTAAACGAGGTGATTGCATATACACTAGTAATATAACTATGACACAACGCTGCATTATTTTTCTCTGCACGCCTGCATCGTTTTCTCATTTTCACCTGCACCGGTATGAATACGATCGTTGAGCAGAACCACCGCAGGCTGGCGAGTCTCGCCTTTGACGCAGCTGCTCTGAGTTTCTGCGTGAGGAGCTGGCAGTCAGGTTTGTTCGTGTGAAACAACTTCTGGGAACTTCGAGTGAATGGCTGGCCATTGCTCAAACAGAAGCGATATATATCTGCTGCCCTAACCGACCGCTTCGTCAAAAAGCCAGCGAAATTAATAATTTGGCAAATGGTCCGCTTCAGGAGTTAGCTGCTGAGCGTGCAGCTCGAGTGCGAAAACATCCAACAGATTGAGGGCGCCACCACGTCCACCGCGTACAACGCGGAGGCTCGCCGTACATCGACACTCGGAGGGGTGAGGGCGTACGCAGCCGTGTTGTTTAAACACGGACCGGGCCGAGGGCTGATTGGGTGCAATGGAAATTAATGAGAGGCGAATAAGGCGCAACCATTACACCCACGACGAAGAGTTATTGATGTCGGACCATTTTTTGCATTGTCCACCTACATGACTGAGCTGAAACAATAAGCGGTACAGCTCGCGAGCAGGGAAACACAAATCCTTGTCACGGAGAGTACAAACGTAAGCACTGACGCTAAGTTCATGGAGAGTTGTAATGTGTTGGTTGTTGGGAAAGCCAGAGCAGCATAGGACGTGTGCGAGCCGGGGGCCGAGCCTCAGCAGTATTACGCAACTACGTCCAGTCAAGTCGGGCCTCCCAGGCATCTGGCGGTCCGCTGCTCCGCCGGTCTGGGCAGGTTCCGGCACGTGCCTCGTGAGTCGGCCGCCTCCCGGTAAGTGGCGGCCCGGCCAGCGGCAGCACACCACGCCGATGCCGCGCCGCTGTCGACGTTTAATGGCGCTAACCGAATTACATCTGGCCGTCATACTTTGCCAGTCAGGTCTGGCCGCACAAAGGTTGGCCGCCATCTGGCCCCGGCGCCCGCCGACATAACGCAATTACTGGGCCGGGGAGCGGCCCCGGACCGGCCGCGAGCCGGGGCCGAGGGCCGCCCGGTCATGCGTGCTGCCGGGTGACTTGAGCGGCCGCACCGCTACCTGACGCAGCAATGACACCCGGTGGACAGGGGCGCGGAGCAGGAGCACGACAGCGGTGTCAGGCGGTGGCGGCGGACGGCAGCGGTGTCGGGCGAGGCCGCTGCTCGCGGGACGCAGCGGTAGAGCGTGGCGGCGTTATCGGGCGGTGACCGCGACTCGCAGGGAGCGGCGGTGGAGCACGGCGGCTGCGGTTCGCAGGGAGCGGCGACGGAGCACGGCGGCCGTGCCAACCAACAGCGGAGCACGGCGGCCGCGGTTCGCAGGGAGCGGCGACGGAGCACGGCGGCCGTGCCAGCCAACAGCGGAGCACGGCGGCCGCGGTTCGCAGGGAGCGGCGACGGAGCACGGCGGCGGTGTCGGGCAGTGGCCGCGGCTCGCAGGGCGTGCCGCCGCCCTTGGTCGGCCAGCTGCAGAACAAAGACTGCTGCACCGCGCTATCTCAATCAATTCGAGAGCGGTTCAGCGCACAGACCACCCCCGGTGAGCAGCTGAGCACGTGCGCGACGAAGAGGGCCGCGGTCACGTGGCGGGACGCGTCAGAAAGTGGCACCGCTGCAGTGACTGGCATACCTCTGTGGCTTGCCTACGTCTGTGTGTAGGGTCACAGGTAACAGGACTAGTCAGCTTAGAAAGCAGGCGGAGTGGGCGTTCCGACAAGATAACTGCATGACGCCATGAGCAGACGAGCCTGTAAACGACCATTTGATGACATCAGTCTCGGAGTTTATGATATGAAATGCTATAGGTAATTCCTAAAACAGCACACATGGATAACAGCGCTGTGCATCTATACGTTTGGTCTGCCTGAGCTGCATTTCCGATTATGACATCTCGACAACACAGCCTGCGACGTTTGAAGGGACGGGGTTCGCGCTCGCGCGGTTCGCTGCGAGGCAGCAGGGACCTGACGAGCTGTCCGAGCGCATTGGCCGTCTAATGACACTGCGACGACAAACACCGCCAGCCGAGACTCGGCCACTATTGGCAGATGGCGCTGTTTGAAGAGCTGCTGTTTGCTGTTTGGACAGCACGGGCAACTTTCAATCTCGGGTATCGGCGACCGATCACAGGGCCCAGCCGACGCTCGGCGCGTGGCTATCGATAACGACACAGCACGACGACGGGACCGGGATGAAGAGCCTCCGATATATTCTGTACCAGCATCAGATTAGTTTACGCCATTTGTTTTCAGAGGAGCCGAAAGAGACAAGGGAGTAAATAGGACAGGGGAACGTCGCAGAGCACAACTGCCTGTCACGACTCTCCCCGCCATTGTCAAAATGACGTAGAGTTGATCCGCAGTTTTCTTAAAATACAATATTTACCTTGTAGTATGGAACATCTTACTAAAACGCATTGCAATATGGCTCAAAATATGACTTTCTACCTCTTTTGAGCTGTGCGCTCCTAATAAAAATAGAGAGCTGGAAACATCGCGTCACAATAAATTCAAAGCATGGTATTGCTATGGAAATTTGAGCCGACATTGGCTAAATGTGACTTACTTTATGTTACCCCTACGCTCTTTAAAACACCCCTTTTTACCATTTTTTACCACTCATTATATTTAACCAATATACGCTACTGCTGCTGCAAAAGACTCACTCATGCTACCTAAGTTTTTATACAATCCCTGAGACGTACCTTCAGGTGGCGCTGGGTCTGGCTTAGATGGAGCTGAGCCTGGCAGATCACTAGCGGAAGACCCTGACTGGATTATCTACGTCGCTTGCGAGTATCTAGAAAACTTAACTCCGGACAGGCTTAACGCAAACATAGTATACATGTCAAGACCAATTATTTGTGCTGATCTCAGTGTGATCATCGATAATAAAATTAAAACTGACGGAAATATTGTTGCACAGCTTTTTTAACAGTTATACCAAAAATTAAACACGCATCAAGACTTCAAAATGCGCGCTAATATCATTTGTACCTGCCTGCAGTAACTAGCTTTCAATAGACGATGAAATTGGTTTTACCCCGAATCTAAAATAATATTTCGACCTGAGGAAAAGATGCGTGAAAAAATAAGTATTGTCTTCCCAAATCGTCCCAGACCTTTTTCGACTTTCCGTGACTTTTAGCGATTTGGGTTACGCAATGATTAGGCTAAGACCATTATCTCTGCATGACTATAGACACCTAAATAACGGATCATACGGTATCAAAAAATTGGAGGTACCTTGTAAGGTCGCTGACCTACGGCAGATCAAAGCCAGGCCGTGAATTCAGTGAAGTCAGTTTCAAGGAAATCGTTCAATCTGACGGAACAACGGAGTGTTAGACGAAGCCATACATCTGAGATCAATTCTCAGGCAACACAACAATTAAAGGATCAAATTCCATTGACCTAGAGTCTGATATGAAGGTTAGACCAAGGTTAAGACCAATCTGTTTTATTGCTCTAGGGCTTGCTGTATGGGGTAGTTTCTGGTGCTCATTTCGCATTTATTGATGCCAGGTACCGCCTTAGACATCTTCCATGGACTTCCCGTAGGTCAGAATAAGTCACTGATCTAGAAAGACCCAGGTCAGCGTTTCACTTTTAGGAACATGCTGCCTAGCTTAATCTTTGTCGCTTATTCAGATGCAAAACTCAGGGCAGTCTTGTATTATTTTGGTCACCATGACCTTCAAAAGGTCAAACAAAGTCACTGACCTTGAATGTATACGTGACCTTTTGCTTAGAACGGGTATCTAGGTTCTGAGGACACGTTGGAGACCAACTTGGAGTTTGACCTTCTTTGACCTTATTTGACCATAAGAAGATGACTTAGGAGGCTCAAACCTTGACCTAAGTGATTTTATTTACAGACCAAAATACCCTATAAATTTGGTGTGTCTAGCTCTCTTAGTTCCTGAGATCTAAGAGAAGTTAAGTTAACCTCCACCCGAGCGAAGGTTGCCAAACCGGCCACCCGGGCGTGTATTAACAGCTTTGTTTGGCAAAACAGACTTCGAATGAGATCGAATTGTTTATCAGAAAATGCAAAAACGCCACGGTACAAACCATTAGCACACTTTTTCAAGACATTGGGCATTGCTGCATCAGGTATTGCATGGCTCCGACTTCAGCAATTCATGTCACAGGAGTTATGCACATGCAGGAAATCAGTAACACATAAACATAGAGCCATACTAAACAACGACTGGTAAACATGCTTGATAGCTGGTTGCACATGCCTATCGGATTTAAGACAGGATCATCATAACCTCAAATACTTGAAACTACACTTTGCACCAGAGCAAATAATTGCCCAGCAATCTCGGACTATTGTACAACAATAATCTTTTGCGCACACAATTACGAACCCGGCGGCCACTCCTGTGCTCTGAGAATTAGGAGAAAAGCACGCCGCTGAGTAATTTCCTGTGACCTTAAAGAACCATTAATCTTATTAACTACCGCAGCTCTCAATTTGTTTTGCGCTCATTTTACTAAAACCAATAGACGTCAAATTATCCTCAGCCTATACAGCTGGGCCATATTTTAGTCAGAAGAACCGCTTTGTTAGGGTGACTTTGTTAAGTTAGCGTAGATACCAGCCTGACGCTCACTGCTGACGCGAGGACATCCGTGCAAGCCAAACACATAGATGATCAGTTTCGTGAACGGAGTCGAGTGTGGGCAGGAAAATTAAGTCAGCCCAGTGCGGTTCGTAAGTTCCTGCATCAGTGGAAACAGGTGTAACGTTACGCACTCAGATGCCAGTGGTGACGTCACTCACTCAGACGTCAGGGGTGACATCACTCACTCAGACGCCAGGAGTGACGCCACACACTCAGACGCCAGGGTGACGTCACTCACTCAGACACCAGGGATGACGTCACTCACTCAGACGCCAGGACGGAGGTCACTCACTCAGACACCAGGGATGACGTCACTCACTCAGACGCCAGGACGGAGGTCACTCACTCAGACGCCAGGACGGAAGTCACTCACTCAGACGCCAGCAACCCGGCCGGGCACAAGAGGCCGGCTCCCTTCGTGGTACTCGGCCCGGCGCAGACAGCTGGCGCAACGTCTGGGCTAATACGACGCCGCAGCTAATAGTCCCACCTTGTGTCCGCCCAGGTGATGAACGACGCATGTGAAGGTGGCCTCCCGGCCCTCAGGGACAGTGACGTTGCCCAGGGACTTGACGAAGACGGGCTTCAAGCCAGCCACTGCGCACGGTAGGACAGAGTTAGAGCCAGCGGGAGAGAGGTGTCGTCTGGCCGCCACAGGCATATTCGGCATCAGCACCCCGCGGCGTCAGGAGGGCCCGAGATGCTCCACTCATCAGCCGATCGCGGCGTAGTGATACTGGCTGTACACATGTCATAGCCATTGACGGGCCTGGTGACGAGAAGAAATTGGGTGAGACATTTGCAAAACATGACAAACTATTTTTGCCTGCGAAGCGCAAACAGACAGCCATTATCAGACCAGCGGTTTCCATTTCAGCTCCTAATCTAATGACATCATGCGACCAAAGGGTTCACGGTCAAACCACTGAAACAGTAATGTCGTTTGAATGAAACAACAATGCTGAACACTATGTTGCCTGTTCACTTAGAACATTCTCAATCAAGCCCAGCTATTCCAACGTAGCTACTGACATGACTATCGACATTTTGGCTTCTTCAGCTGCATTAAAAATATGTCGAACAGCGAAGCAAAACGTGTGATTACGGTCAGCAGTTGCCAGTTCATGATTTTTGGCGGCAAGCTTGGCATCCTTGGGCTTCGCCACGGAAAGGAACGTTGCTATTTATCAGTATCCGTTGACCCTACATCACAACGCGACATGAAACACTTAAAGTGCCCCGTAAGTACACCTTAAAGCCCTTGGTTTCCCATCCAAATTTTGACACCGTGGGGATGTCCTAGGAGGACAAGGGGCAAAGTTGCCAGGCCCTCTCCCCGTCCTGGGTGGTCCCCCTGGGAGGACAACGCGCAAAAGGATAGAATTTCAGCTGCGTTTTATTTAATGGGGTCGACAAGCTGTTAGCAGGAGCCAGAGTTATCTGCTCGTTCGACAAATAATCCAATGGTTACCTTATTGGGGGCTCCAGCGTTGTAGCGCGCCCTCGCCGCCAGACAAGTCGGAGATACAGATCTGCATTGGTATACTGCACCGCCCCACTCGGCGGTCGACCTGGTAGCCTATCCACTCAGGCGGATTGACAGGTGCGAAGCGAGTACGCAATGAACCAAGGTAATACATACCGAGTAGAGTCAAATTCAGTATAAAAACTGCAGTATTAAACTAGAAACACAACATATGTGCAAAGAAGACTAAATTTCTGGATTCCACTACAAATTTGACAGCCCGCAACTGAAGGTAGCGTGGCTCAGGTGCTATAAATGTAATGCATTCAAAATATAACTCAATGTTATGCACATAATTCAGACAAGAAAGTCTCGCAAAGATTTATGCTACAATGCACTAGCAGCATGCATTGGCTGTTAGAAAAGAATTCAGCGTATTTCGTATTCCACATTCCGTGTAACCAATTCCTTAAATTCATTTCTCCATTCTTAATTCCTCTTTATTCATTTGCCCACCGGTTTAAATATAAACGGATAAAGAAAGTATAAATCTCTTGGCTTCAAACATCCCACATTTTGACTAAAGATCGGTCACGTCACCAACTGAGTTACGGAGCGCGTGGCGCGAATGCCAGAAATTTCACGGCATATCGTGCACGAAAACTGACCCGGTACGCCTTGAGAGGTTGGCTTCTCTAAACAAACAATGGTCCATGGATCGGCTCAGGACAATTCGATAGCTTTCGTTTCGTGCCGGGTGACATTCGCTGCATAGCTTCGTAAGAAGTAGGCCCTTACGACACGAATCCTACGGCTTATAGGAAAAGTACGCCGTAGAGCGGTCGTGCTATCAACGCGCCTTGCTGAGAGCTGGCATCAAAACAGCATTGATTACATATCTGATTAAGTAGATCAAGCATGCAGAAAAATTAGACCTACAAGCAGCTTTTGCAACTCTATGTTTTGTAAAACGAGCACAGAAATTTACATCATGACATTCAGCTACTGAAACGTAGGTATTGTTGTGCAACAACCATATTGTCCCCTTTCCATTTATTTGTTTAACTGGTGGCACTGTAGCACTATGACCCACGTTAGTGGCAAACCATTGCTACGTGGTAACCTCCTGCACAACCCATACTTAAAGGGAATTGTCCACATATGAGGATATAAAAGCAAGCATCATATATGACAAAGACGCACTTACAACTATTGGTACACTTTTAAGTGGAAAAGACTGCGCTAGACGATACAATTTCTTTATTTAGTGACCATTATACTTAGTGTATCACTGCTTGACTGCGTCACTACGCCTTGTATGGTATTGATTGAGTGCGAATGGAATGCCGTTATATCTGGATATCGTGCTCATGAATGCCAGATATGATCGACTCGACATTCATATTTTTCTTGGCATTGATCGCCACATAGCCAACGAAATGGCAGGATTTGATACTATCATCATGGCGTCATGGATGCCTGATCAGTCTCGAAATAGCTTGCAAGAAATAGTCTGCACATCTTTGCAGTTGTGTAGCTCGCCAACTAGAGGGGTTTAGGCCTTAAGAAGGGCAGGGTTGTGGACTGCACTGAATGATCTCCAGGATCTATTTAGTCCAAAATTCCATAAAATGTGGATTACTTTCTTTCAGCCCAAAACTTTGCCGAATTGTTGCAGCATACGGGTAGAAACACTGCAAAAATAAACGGCAGCACCTGAATACAAATTAGACAATTTATCACATATTCACATTACCATGCTCCATTATCGTACGGAATATTACATACACGACCCATTCTCATACGCATGTAATTGAAATACATTTTTTATGAGGCGGAGGTGGTGTAAGGAATAAGCCACTCAGAGATGATTTACTCGATTTAATGTTCTTGAAGCATAAATATTTTTCTAGATAATTTCTTCAGAAATAACAAACATTAAAACAGGAAATAACATTCAACGAAACAGAGTAAATAAGCTATCACAACTGTTTGGAATGTTTCACCACCATGCTTGCTTCACCACTGGAGGCCTTGACAGATATGGTCTGCGGCCGGAGGCAGTGGGTGCGTTAAAGGTCAGGTGACGTGACGTAAGTGGGCAGTACGGCCGTGCCGATCGTGGCGGCATTTTACATTTTCACCATCAAGTTCTGCCGTCGACCTGAAGCTGCAAGATCGGATGGGAAGGGCCAGGGCTCACACAACAAGCAGTCTTTAGCGCGAGCTAACCTCAGAAATTCATCCATCTAAAAGTTTCGTGTGAAATATTTCAAAACGCGTGTGCTTTGCGAAACACCCCCAAAATCCGCATGAAGTGAAACATGTTGCAATAGGAGATTGAAAGCAACACTTGTGCTAGCTAAGTGCCGCAACTTGCTGAACATTGCAGTTGAAGTAATCGTTTTCAATGTCAGCATTTGTCCTGAACTTTAAAGCTACTTGGAGCTTCGAAGCTGCCTGAAGCTGACGTAAGATGCAAACCAAACCCAAACTTAATTACAGGGAATGTTTCATCTTTGCAGACATGAAAGCAAGCATTAAATATGATGAAATAAGCTTACTTATAAACATAAGTATGTTCTTAAGTGAAATATACTCCTCTGGACAACACAATTTATCCATATCGTAAATATTCCCGTCAATACGCCATCGTTTCACTGCCTCATGGCCGTTCGCGTAACAGCACTCACTCCCACTTTTTCAATTTTCCGAGAGACGGCAGCACGGGCTGGAAGTGTTCACGGGGCCAAATATCGTTACGTGCTCACGTTTTGGCTGTTTTTTTTCGTGGTTTTCTTGCATATTTATCCGAGTGTTTAATGTGTTTACCTGCATTCACACCCCCGTTATACCGTTATTCTAGGTTATTAAATTAAAAGTCTTATTTTCGTGATAACTAGGAAGAATGCATACATTCCTGTACTATCCACTAAGAAACGTAATTCGTGTTTGACATCCGACCCTCATACCATTCACTTGCGCTATCCTGAATCCTCATGATGTCCTGATTGGCCGGGGCGGGCTGCATGTCACGAGATTCGCCCTGAATCCTCGACCAGACCGTCTTATTCCTTTTCTTAGTTTATCCTGAATCCTCGACATGCCCTGCTCGTGACAGACAGATTGCATGGGTCAGCCACGGGACCGAGAGACCCCCTGGAGGAAGACCTCGACCGGGCGTCCTGTGCGGGCTCAGGCTCGGCGGTTGGCCGCCAGGCGCATAAAATCCTGCCTGACCGTTATCCATTCTCCTTCATCCCATAACCCCGAAATGATCATTTCTGGTCGAAAAGGATCTGAATCTAAGCATCCAAACATCCGCTGGTGTCAGAATTTAGCATGGCTCGCGAACGCCGGAAATGAACGACTCGACAATTATATTTTTCTTGCCTGAACGCTGCATGGCCAGCGGAATGGCGGGATTTGAATGACGTCATTATGGCGTCATGTACGCCTTGGTAACCTTGAAATAGCACGAAGAGTTCAGCACATCTACGCGCGCTTTTAACTCAAATTAGAGGGGTTTAGGTCTTTGGAGCAGCAGAACTGCACCAAGTGACGTTCAGGATGGCTTTTCCAGCTCAAAACCCCACACAAGTGTGGAACATCCTGTTTAACAAAAATTTTCCCCTAAACCCCCTGAGAGATGCCTAAAAACGAACAGAGGACCTGCGCCAGCACTATTATCTATACAAACGTTGTGATAGTTCTTAATCGCATCAAGCGTTCCCAGTATTGAGCAAAACCTAGTGTATCATCAACGTTGATTTCAGCTTCCGTCGTAAATGACGACACGCAAAATGCAAATTGCAAAACACCACAGCCCTGGACGAGGCCAGATGCCGGAGGAAGCTGAGCGGACGACATCTCAGGTGGCGCCGCCGTTAAGCCATGCCCGGCGGCCCGGACTCGGGGTGGGTTGGTGCCGTGTGGTGCGGCGGTTAAGCCAGGCCCGAGGGCCCGCACTCGGGTGGGTTGGTGCCGTGTGGTGCGACGGTTAAGCCAGGCCCGAGGGCCCGCACTCGGGGCGGGTTGGTGCCGTGTGGTGCGACGGTTAAGCCAGGCCCGGCGGCCCGGACTCGGGGCGGTTGGTGCCGTGTGGTGCCGCGGTTAAGCCGAGCCCCGAGGC